CGAATAATAAGTTGATACTACTGATTTAACGATAATCTATCGTTATTTTTGTAATAATCATTATTTGGTGTTTTTTGTGGTGATAGTGAACCACCAATAGTGATAATGTTTGTAAGTTCAATTTAATAAAAGATTTAGAGTGTAATCAATGCTTTTTTTGTGGTATAACGCACTGAAACGGCTTCCCGTCATCTTTTTTTTACAATAATTTTAATGTTCCAGAAACTAATTAAAATATTTCAGAAAGAATAAATACAAAATAGAGAAATAATTTTCTTTTATATTGTATTTGGTTGTTTAACTTTAGATTTGATCATGTTTCAAATAAAAACAAAAAATTAAGATAAATTATATTTAATTTTTTATGAGCTTTCTAGTACAGGAAAAGCTCCTTTTAATATCATTTAAATGATATAATATGATATTCTTTTATAAAGAGCTTGATAAGAAGTTAATTCCGGCATATTATTTTTACCAAAAAAACCACTGGTTAGAAGCTGGTTATTATTATAAGTTCATATCTTTTTATCATTATTTACAAGCATAAAATAAAGAATTAAAAAAAAAATCGCTTTAAAACGTTCGCGATCCGTAATATATTTAATGATTTATTGTATTTATTAAATTATTATATACATTTAATATACGTACTTGAAATCGGTAAAAATAATTTGTAGCCTGTTCTAAAACGATCACTTCTGCAGAGCGTTCAGTCACATTGTCTTTCGGAGTGCATGTTTATTAAGGCAGAGTCTCGTTAACGAGTACTTACGTGCCGTTCACATTAGATTGAACTTCTGGTCACTGTCATCGAGAATTCATTGCCATCGACGAGAGGCAAAACTTCGTTTTGGATTACTTAACGTTCCGTCCTTGTATAGGAAATTGACCCTCGATCAGTTCGGTTGATTCCAAGCAGTAGACCAAATGCGAAAATGCCATTTCATTTTATACACGTTTTACTCAACAAATTTGATCTTATATCTCTTGGAGTAAGATGATTTTTCGTTATTTACTTTCTTAAAGTTTCATATATTTCGACATAACAAAATTAACGAGTTCAACTTTTATAATAAATATCTTCAAATTCAGATATATAAGGCATTTGTCAATATGTATATACAACAATAATTTATTCATTTTGTTGTTTTAAAAATATATTGCATGTTCGATCTAATGACTTCATGTTTTAGTAAAAGGAGATCAGTAACCCGCTGCAAGGACGAGCTCTTCTTAAGACTGCCAAAGAAGAACAATGAGACTGAGAATTGGAACGTCTGGCGAAACAGTTGACTACCGTAAAGTCAACTGGTTGATTAGTACGACCCATGCATCTACGATCGTATTATAAGCGAGTAAACTTTCGTTGTGCAGTTCGCGAAGATTCGTGACTTCTAGCGCGCGCAAATTCTCGATGATCGTTCAACTAATCGTGAGGTCATCGTTCTCATACGAAACAAGAACACATATTGTACGTAATTATATTAAATGCGAATCTTTAAATGTACAGCATTAACGACAAGTTTGATCCATCTAACAAATTTTTTTATTACACAATTATTTTATTTCTAATATATTCGATATATTTGAATTTTAAGTTATAAATGTTCAAGTAATAATATAGCAAAGTAATATATTGGTAATATAAATTATTAATATGTTTACTACGATCATAATTAATAAACATATATTTATATAATCATCTACTAATTATATACAATAATATATATATTAAATATGGATCTGTGAAAAACTTGTTATACTCTTTGGAAGTCATCTGTATATAGGAAAAATGATTTTTATAATGATTTAGATAAAATGAACTTTAAACAAATTAAATAAGCTGTTTATAAATATTATAGTATTTAATACCATATATTTGTTGCACATATTTATGTTACACCATTAATTATTCTTTCCGTCATAATTACTCGTCAAATCCAGTTTAACAAAAAATCAATAAATTAAAATTAATAAAAAATTTTTATTCGAATGCTTTTGCATATAGTATTTTGCAAAGATGCAATATGTACATCATAACATTAAATCCTTATCGGATGATTATTAATTACGCTGAAATTATCTATTGCATACTATTCGAATAACAGTATCTTATACTGTTTTAATATTCATTTTCATATGTCGTCATCGTTTATTTAGAATTTTGATTATTAATTTTTCAATCTAATAATTCCACATAATCCTTAGCAAAAGTAGAAAAGAATAATCTGTTAAACACGCCAAATTCTTGTATGACGACCTATTAAAATTTTTATTACTCACTTAAAATAAAGATAACCAAAAGAACAATGGGGATTTTTTGTTTAAATAAGAATATAAATTTTATTATAAATACATAATAAAAGTTGAAGAATAAACACAAGAGAGAGAGGATAATCTTATAAATTTAAACAGGAAAGAAAAAGAAGGAATTCGGGAAAATTTGATAGTTGGTTTGGTGTCTCGGTAAGAAGACTGGGTAGACCCTAGATTAGACCCAGTTTTAGAACATGAGGCTTCAGGTATTTTTTAGAATGAATTTCTACTGATTACGACAAGTCTAAGAACTATATTTATAGCAAGTACAAGAATTTGTACTTTGTATTCTTGTATTTACTATAAATGTGTGATAATATGTAGTGATATTACTACATAAATACAAATTCTTATAATAAATACAAATTATGTAGTGATAATACTAAATAAATACAAATTCTTATAATATATCCTGCACTTGAATTGAAAATGAACTTTGGATAGAGAAAAATAAATGGGAACGTGGGATAACATCACAGGTCAATGAATTGAAAAAGAAGGATCTTCGTTTCGAGTTAGTATTTGAGAAGAATCACGTATAAATCAAAAGTGAATCGTGTCTTGCCGATACGGAAGCGATCGCTATCGAGTGATTTATTACCAATTTATTGTTGCAACACCTTGTAAATGGTGTCAGTGAAGAACAGCAATGGATGAATTATAATACCGTAGTTTTATCGTCAATCAATGGAATTACATGGAGATGAAAAATGTCAATTATATTTCGAAATATTCTCGTCGATTGTGATAAACAATACGACTTTGATATATTCAAACATTGATTATTAATAATTCATTATTTTTATTATTATTGATAATTATTGGTTGAAAATTATTTATAATAATAAATTATTATTAAATCTTTCTGTAACTTGATATTCATTAAGCAATCTAAAATGAAGATATAATTAGGACATTATTCGAAAATGTTTATGTTGATCGAGCTCGTCATTGTCAGTGTGATTAACAAAAAGTAACGCAAATCCATTTTATTTTAAATGCGCATTTATATGCTTTAATTAACATATAAAGGTGCGGATGTGTAAACAAAGATATGCGTGTATACATAAATAAATACATATTTATATGTATATACGTACGTATAGAGACACAGACAGACACGTATCTCCATCAAAGTGGCAGTTCGCTTGTAATCGGGTGCTGCACTCTGATTAATGACTCGTTAAAATGAAGCCGTATATTGTAGATAAATTGACAAATGCGCGAAGCACATGCGAGGGGCAATAGTTCTTGGTCAAACATACCAGACAAACAAGTACTCGTACATCCCATGTATGTAACGGGTGACATGATAAAAAAGTAATACCTCGCTGATCTAGGTACGATCATTCTTTTAACGAACTGTATGTAGTGCATATCTGTAATGTTTTTTTCATCTTCTACTCGTTGCATATCACGGATTAGAAATAATACCAATATATTTTGTTTATAGATTTTCTAATCTATCTACCTTCACATTCCTTCTATTATCATTTTTGTATGAAATTGATTACATTGTACAAGAATTCAAATAAAAAGTGATATATATATATATATATAATTATTTAAGATTACTCGATAAGGTAATTATACTTAACTTCGGACTCGTCAAACTGGTCATTACATTTGTCGATCGTATTTGCCGATTATTGCTTTTAAAGTTGTCTCTCAATCTAGTTCCAAATTTGTTATAAGTACAAAGTTTACCGATAAATATATGTAATTTTTAAAATTACGTAATTAAAGTAAATAAATTTTAAATTAATAATTATACGTAAATCATTTTTGACATACTCACTTTGTATAAGTTCATTATTGCATATATGTCACGGATACATACAGTAAAATTTCTCAATTTGAGTTCATAGGTGATCTATAGTCGCTGTAATGTATTTTTGTAGGATTATAAAAAAGTAAATGTTATTAATCAAATATAGAATTCAAAAAGAATTTGGTAGAAACTTCTTTTGATCGTCTTCATTAAAATCAAAAAATTGAAAAGTAAATATAATTCTGACTGCAACTGATTTGACTTATTCGTGGGTCAAATTCTATCAGCTTCGATAACGAATCATCGGTTCTTTTGACTCTGATTAGAGGCCAATGAAAATTCGATTTTCATTATTTTTTAATGTTCTTTATTCTAACAACGTTGTTAAGATTAAGAGGCCCATGAATGTCAACAAATTGTCCATAGAAAATTCAAATCATCTACCATATCATTCTAACCATTGTGAAAAGTATTTGTCTTTTTCACCTTTGTACTGAAATCTCTCTCTTTCATTCTCTCTCTCTCTCTCTCTCTCTCTCTCTCTCTCTCTCACAAAAAAACGATCATTAAACAATCGAGGTCGTTTCTTGTGCCCCGATAGTTTATCGCATTGAACTTCACAAAATGAAACGTTTCCACTCCATCGATTTTGATTTCGCCCTCGAATTTACACAAAGGAGAAAGTGATTTCGTCTGAAAAATAATAATACCAAAAATAGCAATAAAGAAAGAAAATGCAATTAAAATTAAACTCGAATTACGTTTCGATAAAAGTTCTTCGTCAACTCACCATTTTAATTCGAAAACTGACGTAAACTTAAGCATGAACGAAGATAGAGAAAATGAATAACACTTTTTTTCTCGAAAAACCATTTATTTTATCGAATAAATATTTTGCTATCTATGCTTTCTACCTAAGAAGTACACATTATACATATAATTATGCATTTTGTTGTCTTTGTCGTTCTCATTCGGATATTGAAGAGTACACAATTCCATTATTTTTGATAATAGGTACATTGACAAACAAACGAAGAGCGAAAATGAGACAAAGATAAAAGAGAAAAAAAATACAAAGAACAAAGAGGGGGAAGACCTTAATACTAAATGATATTGAGGAGAAGGGAATAGCCTTGATAAAAAACAGTATTGAAATATTAGGTGTACAAATGAATAATCCAATTTCTTTTTTTTTTTTTTAGCAAAACTTCAGGTTTATTTTAAAATCAAGTAAAGCAAGTTTTTTGCTCTCAAGGTATTCGCTGTCGCCTTTCTACATAACTTTAAAGTTATCTTTGCCATCTTTGAAGCAGGTGATAAATTCCGTCTCGAAAAAATACGATATCTTTTGATATGATGAAATCAAAGCCATTTTTGAATCTCGTCAATAAATTAAAAATACATATCGGATAAAACGTGTTGAATCGATTGGAACAAGTAGTAATTCAAGAAAAAAATAACTAGTGAATATTCTGTATGCTTCAGGATATACTAGTTAATGTAAGATTCATTATATCTTTTGTGGCAAGAACAGGTAGCGTGTGACCAGATGTTGTTATGCAATTATTTTATATGACGCTTTTCATTGCTAGTATATGAACATTTTTTTTTTTAAGTCTTGACACTTATTGATCATTTACAGTAATCCATATTCATTTTTAACAGTTAATACTAAATAAACATTTTGATATTCCACCAATTGTACAGTAGAATTTTTGTAGAATTTTTTGGACTTTCATTTTTTCGAATGGATTGAATTGAATGAATGAATTCAATATCCATTTTTAGTTTGCTTGTTTCTCACAAGAAAAACTTCTATAAAAAATATATTTTTTTATAAATTTTATTTTATAAACAAAAAAATGTCTATGTCGCATATTAAGTAGAGAAAGACACATGTTATAAAGTGTGTATTGTATCAGTCGCCATGTTCTACTCTACTTAATTCAATATAATTTAAGATTATATTCAGTTGCTTTAAATCAATTGTTATTTGTAACAACAATATGTCAATAAAACGTATTAAAGATAAAGATAAAACATAATAAAGAATGAAAAAATCAATTAACCTAAACATTAATTTTCTAGTTTCCGTAGGATCACTAAAGTCACGCAACCATGGATAAAATTAGTACACATGGTGTGCTATTGACTCCAGAGAGGCGATAAAAGATATGGCTATGTGTAAGAAGATTTTTGTAGAAAAGTGACTCGAATTCGTAAAAAAGAAAGTAATAAAGATAATATCAAATTTTTTAATTATTGATAAAATATATGGATTCATTCATTTGTACATCTAATATATTTTTATACACTTTTATCGCATAATTCGTTGTAAATTTTGAGGCGGTGCACAAGAGTAATTACCTATTCTATTATACAAAAGTTCACTACGGTGCACATAACTTGGAAAATTCAAAGCTGTAGAGAGTAAAAAAAGAGGAACGAGGAGAAGAAAGAGAAAGGGAGAGAGAAAGGAACAAGGAAAGGTAGAATGAAATTCATGTGTATCAAAAATTTTAACGATTATTTTTCGTTAAATCGTATTCGCGAATTATGATAAAATGGCGTAGGAAGGAAGCCTTCGTTATTGTACGGTACAGTTTAATAAGAGACGAATGCCTGGGTCAGTTACACTTTTTATCTACAACTTACTCTATTAGATATTCAAGTTAGAAAAATGACGGAGTTTCGTTAATTAATTCGCTTCTACAAGAATTCCTCGATTTGAATCGAGAAATTTGATAAAAGTTATGCCACACTTGCTTGGATTACTTTATGTACACATTCACGATTCATACGCATTATCTCACAATCATTCGTACTATCGATTTAAAAATAGAAAAAAAAAATAAAATAAAAGGAAAGAAAAGGAAAACAAATACGAACGGATAGGAAAAAGATTAATAAAAGATCGAAGATTAATAAAAGATCAAAGTTATTTCACTGTACACCGAGATCTTTTCTGGTCAGTACGTCTTCATCAATCAACAATAACTATTATCATAAATTTAAAACAAACGATCTTATGATTTTCGTTACAGTAACGAACATTATAGTATTGCTAATTGCTAACAGCACAATTGACAAGAGAGAGAGAGAGAAAGAAAGAAATTTGAATAATTGAAAAAAAAAGGACGGGATCTGTATGTGTTCGAACTTCATCGTTAACATCTTTACGTCCGAAACGAAGGAAAGGAGAAATCCAACTAAAAATGTGTGATAGATGGATTATATAGGACATACGTGAGGGGGAAAAAAACCAAAACGCTTTATAAAGAGTCGTTCTCTTGAATCAGGAGCAAACGCATTGACGCCTTAAAAATAATACCGTGACTCTAGGAACTATTCGCCTTGCCGTGAATCACCATCGAAGTGCCTGCTCGAACTTTTCTCTTTTTCCAACATCATCTTTTAATTCTATTCTCAAGTTCTTACATTCCTTTTATCGTTATTTTTCCCATTCCTCTCTCTCTTGGTCGCCATTTTATTCGTTCAAACGTTCAAGCACGCGGCACCTAACAATTCCGAACAAGGCACTTTCAGTCTATCAGATGAACGATTTTTTTATTTTTATTTTTTCTGTGTTTATTATTTTCATCGAGGATTCACCAAAGACGAACCGACGACGCATATCTATGTCCTCTAGTAATTGGACTATGAGCATCCGCATCTTTCAACGACCATGCCTGGTAATCGCGAGAAAACAATCTGATATTCGTTGTCAAAGTACAACATCGTGATCTCCGAAAGCTTCCTCGGAGCACAACATGGTCCCGTGTTATTTGGTGGTTCCGCCAAGCTAACTATATGAGTGTTCGGATAAGCTGGTAGAAATGCCATTGGACAATCACCCGAACAGTAATTCGCGTCGTATCTGAAACAGGGAATATAAAACGTAGTTGTTTTTATACAAATTATCGTATAATCCATATACTGCTTTTGTTATCTTTATTTCTACCAAAGAATTGTACAAAATTCTAACAAATATTCAATCAAATTTTCAAGGTTTAATACGTGAAATTCGAAAGTGTAGAAAACTAAATAAAAAGACTCACTTCTTTGGCGCGATTATCCAATCCCAGCCAAACTTTTCAAAATCCACTGTGAGCTTGTACCGACAGCACCTCGTTTCTTGGCTGGCCTCGTCACAATTAAGACCTACATTTCTCTTAATCCTACCACCTCTTCTCGTGTCTAATTCTTGTGTCTGCACTTCGAGATAGGGGGCAAACTCAGCACCAGGATTCGTCTCGACGAGTCTTGAACTCCTACGGTGATTTCCACTAGGACCCGTGATCTTTAAAGCGAGACCGAAGTTATCTCTCGGATGCTTGAACCATTCAGCCACCATTCTTCTTAATTCAATCGTCACCCAAGCACCTCTGCGACCAATCGGTCGAGAATGTAATGTTGTAAACGGTGGTCCCAATACTGGACCACCTGACTCTGTGTTACCACGAAGAATCCTTTGAAGTGTGATTGTCATAGGACATTCGTTATGAGTTTCTACATTATCCAGTTTAACCGAATCGCTCGGCTCGTCACTATCTTGATTGGTACCCCAAACCCAAAGAGATAATTCTGCTCTCGTCACTCGATGTTGAATCACCTTGTCGGAGAACTTGAAGTATAACACGTCTAGACCTTTTGAATGCCTTAGCCTTTGATCTGTCAACAGAACATTAGCATTCCTTCGTTATATAGTTAAACATATTCTAAAGATTCTTATAAGACAGGTACTTTGATATTTTCTCTATATATTGTATAAGTATATCAGGTATTTAAAATCATTCGTTAGTAAACAAGTCGAGAGACTATACAACTCTGATGTAACGCTTATGATTATCAAGCTGTTAAACTGGCTTAAAATAATCACTAATATATACAGAGTGTCTCAGCTAAATGAAATCATTCAAATATTTTCTTTGTTTACGATTGTATGAAGACACTTTATGAAATTTCTGTTTTCTTGGTGTTTTTCTAAATGGGACCCTATATTTTTTACGATATTCTTCTAAAACATCAAAAATAAATTTAATGAATCCATTGATTTTTACATTTAATGATAATTAAAACACATTAGGTCATGCACTTGTATTCAAATTTTCAACTAATTAGTATTTGAACTAATTCATCTTGTGACATTATCGATTAACATGTAACTAGAAATTTTCTTTCCATACTCTCAGGTGTGATAGGATTTTCCTGATAAACTATATTTTTTAATTTATCGCATGATTAAAAATTTAATAAGGTAAGGTTAGAAAAACGAGAAGTCCATTTCACAGTCCCTCGTCGTCTGATCCAACAGCCTCTGAACTTTCTATCTAATATTATTACTCTTGCATATTTCGAATAATGTGTGGGGCAACCATCATGTTGATATCACGTAAATTATGTAATATTTAACGAAATATCTGATAAAAGTTCCAGGAAAATATCATTGAGAAATATTGTGTATTTTTGTCCCGTAAGTTTGACTTTAATGAAGTAAGGACCTATGATTTTAAATGATAGGATCTCGCACCACATATTCACAATTTTTGGTCTCTGATTATTAATTTCTTTCATCGATCGTTGATTTTCTACAGACCCATATTGCATGTATGTATTATTGGTTATACAAAAAATATATAGTGCATATCTTACGATAATTTTTATTATCTTTAAATGTAAATATCTCGAAAGTAAATGATTGAAATAATATGATCATTCTCAAATCCTTTTTATTCGTTTTTTCATGCTTTGCAAGAATATCGCAGAAAATATGTAGGTTTGTAAAATCTAAGAATAAGTCATCGCTATTCTTGTGTGTTTTTTGAAAATATGTAATTACACAACCAGTAACGGAATTAACAAGGATACGATACAAAAAGAGGTGAACAATGTTTATCAGATATGACAATAAAGTATCAATAAACTTGATCTAACGGTACCTAAACGAGTTCGAATTTGTGCAAACGTCTTCTACAAGTGTACGTTATATTCATGTTACGTACAATGTGGGAGAACCTACATAACAAAAATAAGACTGCACCTTCGGGAAAGATAATTGTTAGTTATAGGAAGTTTGATCGATGAGAACCATCTAGATTAATTATTCACGGAATATTACAAGATTATTGTAAGAGTAATTTAGTAAGGAAGTTAGAACATTAAAACTACACATACACGATTTTTCTTACTCTCATCAACTCGTTATAAGTCCATTTAAAACAACATCGATAATCTTCAAACTTCATAAAAAAAATGATCTTAAGAAAATATTCCTTTAATCGTTACATCACCCCTCCTCCCTGATATATTGCAATTTTTTTCTTTCAAGTTTTTTTTATACAATTATAAATATAGAAGATATCTAAGTGATCCATTTAGCTAAAGACATTTTGTATATATATATATATACATATGACTATTTATTAAATGCAAGAATGATTAGCACAAAAAAGCAAAATGAATATATGATTTCAATCGAGACACGCCGATCGCAATATAGCCGTTTCATTCGAAGATTAATGATTTCTACTTACATAGTGAGAATCTATACGAAGATTGTTACTTGTCGTGAGGTTATCGAAATAGATAACCGAATATCGGAAAAGATTCGCGATAATCGATGATGTATATGCGCACACGCCAATGATTAAAATTGCGGGTCTCTTGCTATTATTACGAAAAGACTTTCGTTATCTTACATTATTAATAAGAACAGTGTAACGTATTAATTAATAGAATAAAGTCATTTACCGACTTTGAAAAAAATCCTATCGTATAATAATACGAATAAGAGGAAAACATTATTTTAATGTAAAGCTTTGTCTGCTCCAATCATCGTTTGCTAACATAAAAAAATTCAATGTCTAGACTGTATTAGTAATTATTTCTCATCGTAACATAAGCTACTGCGAAAGTATTTAACATGATAAGACGCATTAGAAACTTTGTTTCTAATTGCGATTGTAAATAATAACTTCAAATGATCAACGCGTATCTATAGCGGTGTTTATCGTTATAATATCACGACGCATTAAAGTTTTTCTTAAATCTAAAAAAAAAATAACTAGAGTGAATTAGATGAATCTACAGATTGTTCTAGGGTGTGGAATCGAATGGAATGTTGATCACATTAGCTCTATGACTACATTGTTTTTTCTTGTAAACATATATTTAATGACGAGTATTTCACATATTGCAAGATCTAATATTCAATACAAATGCGTTAAATAAAAAATAAAAGCTAATATAATGAAGACGCGACGTATCTAAATTTATCATCATCTTTTCCTTCCTCTTTTAAAGGAAATAAGAAAAAAGTAATTTGCCAAGTGGATCAGTAAGGCTAGATACAACGGTGAAACGTGTGCCGATAATTCGAGTCATCCAGTCAAAGGGTTAAACTCTTTGCGTGCCATTCGTTCAATCGCATTGCAACTATGCTGGTTTGCCTAGAAAAGACAAGGCCAGGCGTAAGTTGTCGACAAGAAGAGACCTCGAGAAAAGTTTCCTGATTGATCGTCGAGAAGAAAAACGATGCTCCGTGTAACGGTAAGACTCGCAAGCCAGGTTTTACCCTTCATGGAAGCGGTCTTGGATGGCCCGAATAGAAACCGCTGCTACCGTCACTGTACGCAGGTTTAACGGTCCTAGTAAATTTTCAGGCTCCCGACCAGAAACATATCTTTCGCTTTAATACGTTTTACTGTACATCAATTATTCCGCTCTTAACAAATTAAACACGATCCATGCGACCTTTTGATAAGTGGGTCCTAGATTAATAACCAATGAACTATTGTTAAATAATCAAATTTTTTTTCAATCGGATCAACGTTTCACGCCAACGAGACGTTGAAACAAATGTTATTCGCGACGATATTTTTAAAGCGTGAATTCGATTTATTCATTTACCATCAATTTATTATTAATTGTTTGTTTCATCAGAAACGTTCTCAAACTTCTTTTCTTCTTTTCACTTTATCTCTCTTTTCGTTCATTTTCCCCGATTACGATCACGATCGAAAAACGACCACAATGATTCTATTATATTATCTCTCATATTATTGTACTAGAAAATTGACACTTAATCGAGAGAAAATTATTACCTACGGGAAGTTTCAATGTTTTATCAAATAATGACAGACCAAGATGTCTTCGTGCGATCATAATTTAGAGTAGTTATAGATTCAGTATACACCGTCGGCCCCCCTTGACATTTTCTCCCTATAAACTAATTTCTAACGACTAATTGCGTTAATCTTATAAATAGCAAGATCTTCTTACCCCCTTCACCGGCGACGTCTTTCGGAAACTTCATACGATCAGAATGAAGATGGATCAAGTTTTCCCTTCCCGGCCGGTATAATCGACTTAAGGAAGACAAACTTAATCTCTTTACTGTGACTTCACCTTCGAAGTGCCAAGGATTCGTAGACGTACACCTAGACGTCCTCTTTTCTCTCTCTTCCTCTCTCTGCTACCTCCACCCCACCCCTCCACCCATTCATTCTTCTCCCTTCTATGACACCCGTTCTTTCTTTTGTTCTTGAAATTACCAACAAAACGACATTCGTCTTATTTTATCCGTAAAATCGTACTTCACGGATTTAATTTAATAATTATTATGATAGTATCTCTCGTTTCATTCTTCGTAACCATTCAGTTAATATGACGTCTTTCTTGCTAAGGTAAGCATAATATTTGCTGCTAAATGATAAAATTTGTTTTATTATATCTGTGGAATGTATGTACATATCCTCTGTTTGTTTACGAATTAACTGTAAATCCATTTCTTAAAAAAAATTAAATAACTGATTGATTGTTGACTAATATTCCGAAAAAAAATGTATTCGAATGATTTGTAAAGTTTATATAAGATTTAAAATCAAACTGTCTGAAGGTTGTTTGAAGGTTCTCAGAGTGTATGATTTTAAACAGGAAAACGTACGTCATAACTGAGGTGAAAAGTCGTGCTTTGATGAGTAAGAAAGAAAAAAAAGGAAAGAAAATGGCGAAAGAAGAAGCGGAAAGGAAAGAGGAACGACAAGACAGTAAGATGGGTGACTTATTTTGGTCCAGACGAATTACCGACCGTCTGGCTCGGCAAGTTCGAAAACTAAATTTAAAGTTACGCGAAAAAGGGGAAGAATTGTGTCTGGAGAAAAAGTCAAAGCAAAGCGAACGCGATTACTGAAAGGGAAACGACTGATCTTAAAACTTCTAAGGCACCCTTGAAAATGTCCGAAACATTCTCGACATTGGTACGTTCTTAACGTTTCAACGATCGAATTTAGAAAAAAAGCTAAAAAACTTGGAACCGTGACATTTTGTTATATACATATGTACGTATAAATAAACCATATTTCTTATATTTTATTGTTAGAGCAAGGATAAAAATATGAATGAAAGAAAGACAGAACATTATTTATTATTTATATAAGGTGAAAAAAATTTTGTTTAAGTACTTTATTTAAAAATTACGCCGACTTTCTGCGTATTCCTCTCATTCGAAGAACAAGCTGAACGATCAATTTACGAGTCAAGGAAACAAAAGACAAAGAAAAACGATTCATCGTCTATGCCTTTTAGACCGAGTTTTTTTATGATATGTCTGAGAGATGAGGAAATGTAAAAGAAAAACAGATTTTCGCTTAAAGTTGTCATAGGACGTTTAA